GTGGCTACGGCGAAGTCGTGAAGGTTGTTGACTCAACCACGAAAGAGGAGTCGCTATGAAGTTGGTGAAGAAATCTAGCTTCAGCAGGTTTGGAGACTACAGCGAGTCTACACTGAGATCGACACGTTGCGAGCTCTTCGTCATCCTAACGTCATCCGCATGGCCGACGTTGTGGATCATCCAGAGTATATCTGCTTCGTGATGGAGCTGGCAAGCGGAGGATAATTGCGACGGTTCGTTGAAAGGCATGGCCCTCTTGATGAGAACAATAGATAACGAACGTGACTCTTCCGATATTGGCATCTCACTCAGTCTCCCGGCGTATATTCAATCAATTAGCAAAAGCAGTTCATTATTGTCATTCGAAACGGGTCGTCCATGGAGACCTCAAGCTGGAGAATATCCTCATGGATGAGCACAACTGCTGCAAGATAGTCGACTTCGGCCTAGCCGTAAGCTTTCAGCCCGAGCCACGCTGATGCAATAGTGGCTCTAGGACTTCGCTGTGATCCCCGATCCACTGTGACAGGTTTCTCGATTCAGCAAGTTCACGGATAGCGGATAGGCAGGTAATCTGTCTTTCGGCTATCCGTGAACTTGCTCTACCGGGAGACCTTCACTCTCAAGGTCAAACTTGCTTGTAAGTTACAAGCTGTAACACCGTCATCCTTGCTTGCTCACTTGTCAAACTTGTACGGGAAAAGGTGTAGTGAGGGTTTGTGCTTCTAGTGAGAATTCGGCTTACTTGGCCCGAAATTTTCAGTGTTCGGAACACTGAAAAATTTCGTGCATGCCCGTGAGGAACACTGTGTTCCTCCCGGGAACTCCCCATACGAGTCAAGGCCACTTGTTTCCCGATATAATAATCCCGAATTGACTGTAACACAGGACATATTTGCGTCATAGTCTAGGTCCCTGAGAACAAATTCTCAATGACGGCGAAATAGGAAATATCGAGAAAATAACTTGGCGCCTAAATCTCTGGGATCAAATGCATGATAAGCCCAAAAGCGGGAATATCGAGCGATGGCGAAATGAGGAAAATTCGTGGTATTGAGCGCTAACTGTTGAAGAGTGAAAGGTGTCCAGGCCAGCATTCTACTGGTGAGTGATTCCGTATCACCAGAGCTTATCGCTGAGGAAAGATTGGAATATCTCTTGCATCGCTCTGGGTTGATTGAGCATTATTCGATGGCCTGCGTTCTTCACCTGAACAGACACCCTCAATGATTCCTACCATAATGTGCTTTCCACCTCGACAAATGCGAGTTTCGCTCCATTATGGTAGTGAGAAGTGCGCGACGTTCCTACGACGCCAATTCCAGGATACTGAAACAGAGTCTCCGGCACAGACGTTGTGCTAGGAGATGGCACTGGAATAGAGGAAACTCCTGACCTTGATATCTTGGGGTCTTGAATGCTGGAGTGCTTCGCCGTACCCCTCCCTTCCTTTCAACTTGAACAGCCACTCGGTCGTTCCCACCGCGTTCGTGATATAATCCTGATCGCCATTGACCGCAAGCACCTGTAGCAGTGATATACCGTACTATGTACGGTCGTACATAT